CTGGACGATGGAACCATCGTTTCACAAGTTCAGTCCTGGAACTTCAGGAGCTTCCAATACAAAGAGGATGAAGGTCCCCGAGGACTTTGCAGCCAACTCTATTACTTTTCTAGTCAATGGTTGAGACCAGAAAAGCACACAAAAGCGCAGATGCTGGACCTGGTTGTTCTGGAGCAGTTCCTGGCGCTTCTGCCCCTGCAGATGGAGAGCTGGGTGCGGGAGTGTGGAGCAGAGACCAGCTCCCAGGCGGTGGCCCTGGTGGAAGGCTTCCTCCTGAGCCAGGCGGAGGAGAAGAAGGAGCAGGCTGAGTTGCAGGTGAGAGGACTTCCTATTGGGTGTCCAGAAGGAGCTGAATATAATAAACAATATGTTCAAACTATTCTTTCCTTTTAATAATTTTATTAAGCTTATCAATATATAAAATACAAAAAAATGAAAATAGCAGGAACTAGGGGGAAGGGAAGAGGAAGAAGTATAGGGGAAAGGGGAAAAAAGGAAAATGATTGACTTCTGACTCTATTTAGTGCAGTTGATGGTAACATTATAGCCTCAGCCTTTTATCTTTACATCCTTAATATGTACTAGCCACTCTATAACAACAAAATCAAAGTTTCATTTTTTTACCACCACCACCCCCCCAAAAATCCTGAAGCAGTTTCCAAATAGAAACAAAGATGGATGTGTTGTTTTCTTTCATTAAAGCAGTTAATTTTGCCATCTCTGCTAGTTCCATCAATTTTTCCAGTGACTTCTCCATTTTTGTACATAAAGCATTCCTTCTGCTCTCAACATATATAACAGCAAAGTTTGAGATTGTTTTTCAATCTCTTTGTCTATTAAAGTCTCTGATTTTATTTTTATACCCACTTTGAGAATCTTCTGCAGTAAAATATAAATCTTACAGCAATATTTCTTTGCTTTGTCACAAGTCCAGCAAAGATGGTAAAAAGATTCTTGTTTACATTTTCATTTTAAACATGTATTTGAATTTCCTTTATACATCTTTGGCCGGTTATCACACATTAAATAGAATGATACATCATTTTATTTAAAAAATCCTTTAAATTCTAATTTAATACAAATGTTAAAGCTTTCATCCAAATATCTTCCTGTTGTTCAGGCATTATGTTATATACAAAAGTCTTTGCCATTTGATCAACAAATTCAAATTCTTAATAGCTCCTTACCAGAGTTCCCTGGCATTCATACTATGTGGAGATGCTTCACTAATCTTTGTATAGTTGCTTATCCTTTCTAGAAGAAAGGTTTTGCAGAGCCATTTATTTCTTACTTCCCAGCCTAATTGGTCGACACTGAGTGCTTTGCAGTAAAAAAACACTTCATGATGTGTGATGACCATTAATTCTTTTCTCCTTCATACTATTTCAAGTCCTTTACAATGGACATGAGAGATCCTGAGAGAATGAGGCATCCATCAAATCTCCCTCAAGAACTGTTTTTCAGGAGGATCTCTCAGGAAGATCCAAATCAGGACACCTCAAGAGGTAATAATAAGATCCTTCCACTCCTCTGATAAATCCTTTCTTATCTTCTGTGTTTTCTTTCAGTAGCATACCTCCTCCCATTTCATTAATTATGCTTTTTGAAATTCTGTCTTCCTCACAGGGAAGAATAGAAGGAAGTTGAGGCTTTGTTTTGGGGGAACAGAAACGGTGATTGAACCTCCAGCTCAGGTAACAGAAGAATATTAATTTACTAGATTTGTATTTTCGCTTTCGCTCAGGAAATCAGTAGCTGTACGTAGTATAGGTAGTCCTTGACTTACGACCAGAATTGATCCCTAAATTTTTGTTCCTAAGCGACATATTTATTAAGTGAACTTTGCCCCATTTTCCGACTTTCTTGCCACAGGTGTTAAGTCAATCACTGCAGTTGTTAAATTAGTAACATGGTTGTTAAGTGAATCTGGCTTCCCTAATGACTTTACTTGTCAGAGGTTCACAAAAAGTGAAGCCAGGACCCCAGAACCGTCATAAATATGAGTCAGTTGCTAAGCATCCGAATTTTGATCATGTGGCCATGGGGATGCTGCAACAGTCGCAGGGTTGAAAACCGGGCATAAGCCATTTTTTTCAGTGCCGTTGTAACTTTGAGCAGTCACTAAAAACTGTTGAAAGTTGAGAACTATCTCTACTGCCTTTTTCCATTGTCCCCTCTGCTTTTGTTTGGGGATTTTTAAAGGATTTTTTTTTAAGACTAGTACTTTAAAAACAAAACTCTTTTTGCTAATTATTCTCCCAACTTTTCAATAAATAATATTTTATAGATATTTTCATGACACCCATTCTTTCTGTAATTCTTTGAGTTGCATTTGTGCAAGGATCCTCCAAAATATTTAAATATTCACACCAGGAAATTAGCATTTTAAAAAGCTTCATTTACAATCATTGATAAGAAAGTAAGTGATTAAGAACTAAGATTTTTCAAAAACCCAGGACAGTGGCCATATAGAAATGCCTCCAAATAAAAGTTGTTCTGAAAGAGCACATAATCAAGGCCCTGTTGGCTTGCAAAATACCTTTTAATCCCCTGATTTGTGCCTGGATTTGGAGATCAAACAATCCAGCTTTGCAAAGGCTAAGAAATGCCTTCCTCAAAAAAATGTTCTCCATTTTCTTATTTACTGTCGAGTCAATGGCTCAGACTACTAGCAGTTTCCTTGCAATCTGAGGAGGGACAGAGTCTCTGGATATTGAGAGCATCTGTCCACTTTCTCATCTAAACTATGGAATCCTACTAAACATAGCCATTTACCTTAGTGCCTAGCTTTGCTTTGGGAATTTCTAAACAATAGGACAGATCCTATAGTCCCTCCTAAATCTGTTCGTACTCTATTGCCTTTCAGGAGGGTCGTCTGCCTTTTGAGGAGGTGGCTGTGTATTTCTCAGAGGAGGAGTGGTCTCTGCTGGATCCTCACCAAAAAGCGCTGCATTGGGAAGTCATGCTGGACAATTATAGGAACGTGGCCTCTCTTGGTAAGCGTTTCCTATTCTGCAGTCAGACAGTTCAGGAAGACATTTTGTAGTTAGATGCCATGGATTACTTCTTATGAAATCATCTCCAAATAGATATCCTCTCCTCAGAGGGAGAAGGAAAAGTCATGCTGTTCTACTACTCCTAGGAAGAAAATAGGTCAATGGCATTCTGTTTAGATATATTCTATCCCATTTGTTTTTCTATTTCTATTTAAACATATTAGTGACAAAGTAATTCCTTGATTTGCGGTAATGCCAAACTTCATCAAACAGTTTTCAACTATTTTTGGCCCAGATGCTTCCGTATCAGTCCTATCAAGAATTGCCTTTCACGTTTTTTGACTTAATGCCTTTTACAAGTTTTTATGCCTCATGAACAGTGATATATCATTTCTATACCAAACCATTATAGTTATACAAATATACAATATATTGGAATCTGGCAAAATACCTGAAGGCAATTACAGGTAGTCCTCGAGTTACGAATATAATGGAGCCTGCCCATTTCATTCGTAACTCAAAAATTCATGGGAATAAATCTTGTACCTCAAACAAGATCACTTCCTGCTTTCACCCACATATTTGCTAATTGAAGGCATGGGCAAATTACATGGTTAATTAATTGCATATGAGGTATCTCAGGGTGTGGAAGGCCATGGAGAGCCTAGTGATGGAACAGGCCCCCAAGGCCTCCATGATTCACAAAGATACCTCATGCTTCCCCCTCCATTTCTGCCGCTCCGGATTGACTTACCTTGAAAAGATCCATCTCCTCTCTGCCAGGTTCCTGCTTTTCAGGGAGAGGAGATCAATGGAAGTTCCTGCGTGCTGTAATATCGCACGAGTTCAGGCACCCATCCTCTGTTGCAGAGAATGGGTGCCTGAACTCTCACGGTGCTTTTGGTGTCTATCTCCTGTTCCCCCCCAACTCTGGAGCCAAACAGCCCCCGGCCTTGGCTTCTGTTCTGCCGGCGGAGGTCTGTAGATCAGGCTTGTGAAGGCCCACAGAAGCATTCTTTCTGGGCAGCAGCGGCCTGGAAAAGGCCTCTGATGCCCGGATTGGGCCTCCAGAGGCAATCGGAAGCCTCTCCCAACTTCCGTTGCATTTTCTGTTGCAGAGAAAGAGGCCTAAACTACCATGAGATCACTCAAAATCAGTAGCGTGAGATCTCGCATCACTGATCTCACGTGATCTTGCGTTACTTTAGGCTTCCATTCTCTGCGAACGCACCAAAGGCCTAGAACAGCCAAGAAAGCAAAGGTGAGTACCCACAGGCCTAGTGTCTAGGGAGACTGGGGTGGGGGGAGGAAGGAAATAGCTAGGGTGAATGTTGCAGTGCTACTGTCGCCGTTCGTAAGGGTGAATGACTGCCGTAATGTGGCAACATTAATAATTTCAGGACTTTTTCGTAAACACTATTGGGTGATTATCGTGTAACTTCGAGTGTTCGCTAAGGGAAGGTTCGTAACTTGGGGATTATCTGTAATATGACTTCTGACAGGGTGATCTTTTTCCCTACCTTTCTATCACTTTCATTTCTCTTTTCCTTTGAAGGTGATAATGAGAAAGACAATAAAGTCCCTGGAGAATTAATCAAAGTGTTCAAACAAAGAGACGTAATAGAGAAGCCTGCAATTCAAATGGGATTCCAAAGGCAGGAAAGAAACACTTCAAATAATTGGAATAAGGAAAGCTCATCTTCCATTGATGCTCAGATGCACGACTTTATTGATCAACGAGGAAAAATAAAGAAAAAATACATTGGGAAAGGTGTAAGACTATTTAAAGACACCATATATGTAAATGAGCACTATCTATCCCAAGTCAAAGGACAAGATTATACATCCAAAGACAAAGAAAAAACTTACAATTGGACTTTCACGCTTTCTCAAGAAAATGGATCTCTTCTGTCACAGAAAAGTTTTCACATGGGAGAGAAGCCAAATAAATGCACTGAGGATGGAAACAAGACTGTTTATAAAAGGATAAGCACAAAGGAGAAGCTGTATAAATGCAGGGAGTGTGGAAAGGGCTTTAGCAAACCAAGTCATCTTACATCCCATCAAAGGATCCACACAGGAGAGAAGCCATATACATGCATGGAGTGTGCAAAGGATTTCAGAACAAGCAGTGAACTTACATCCCATAAAAGGATCCATACAGAGGAGAATCCATATAAATGCATGGAGTGTGGAAAGGGCTTCAACAAACATAGTCATCTTACATCTCATCAAAGGATCCACACAGGGGAAAAGCCCTATAAATGCATGGAGTGTGGAAAGGGCTTTACCCAACATGGTCATCTAGTATCCCATAAAAGAATCCACACAGGAGAGAAGCCATATAAATGCATTGAGTGTGGAAAGGGCTTCACCCAACATTGTCATCTTATATCCCATCAATGGATCCACACAGGAGAGAAGCCCTATAAATGTATGGAGTGTGGAAAGGGCTTCACCCAACATTGTCATCTTATTTCCCATAAAAGAATCCACACAGGAGAGAAGCCATATAAATGCATGGAGTGCGGAAAGGGCTTTAGAGCACATGGAGATCTTACATCGCATAAAAGGGTCCACACAGGGGAAAAGCCATATAAATGCATGGAATGTGGAAAGGGCTTCACAGCACACAGAGATCTTACATCCCATAAAAGGATCCACACAGGGGAGAAGCCATATAAATGCATGGAGTGTGGAAAGGGCTTCAACAACCACAGTAATCTTACATGCCATCAAAGGATCCACACGGGGGAGAAGCCGTATAAATGCATGGAGTGTGGAAAGGGCTTCAGAACAAGCAGTGATGTTACATCCCATCAAAGGATACATACAGAGGAGAAGCCATATAAATGCATGCAGTGTGGAAAGAGTTTCAGGAAACACAGTAATCTTACATCCCATCAAAGGATCCACACAGGGGAGAAGCCGTATAAATGCATGGAGTGTGGAAAGGGCTTCAGCCAACATAGTAAACTTACATCTCATCAAAGGATCCATACAGGGGAGAAGCCATATAAATGCATGGAGTGTGGAAAGGACTTCACCCAGCATAGTAATCTTACTTCCCATAAAAGGATCCACACTGGAGAGAAGCCATATAAATGCATAGAATGTGGAAAGGGCTTCACCCAACATTGTCATCTTATTTCCCACAAAAGAATCCACACAGGAGAGAAGCCATATAAATGCATGGAGTGTGGAAAGGGCTTCAGAGCACAACGAGATCTTACATCCCATCAATGGATCCACACAGGGGAGAAGCCATATAAATGCATGGAGTGTGGAAAGGGTTTCAGCCAACACAGTAAACTTACATCCCATCAATGGATCCACACAGGGGAGAAGCCATATAAATGCATGGCATGTGGAAAGGGCTTCAGAACACGCACCGATCTTACATCTCATCAAAGGATCCACACAGAGGAGAAGCCGTATAAATGCATGGAGTGTGGAAAGGGCTTCAGCAAACACAGTCATCTTACATCCCATCAAAGGATCCACACAGGGGAGAAGCCGTATAAATGCATGGAGTGTGGAAAGGGCTTCACCCAACATGGTCATCTTGTTTCTCATAAAAGAATCCACACGGGAGAGAGGCCATATAAATGCATGAGGTGTGGAAAGGGCTTCAGCCGATACCATACTCTTACTTCCCATAATATGATTCATAAATGTGAGAAGTCAGTCCCCAAAACAAAGACAAATTTGGGTGAAAATGAATGCTAATTATTGGTTTAGTGGTCTCAGTCTATGGATTTCCAATTTACACAGACAGAACTCTGAAAAGAAGGTTTTTTTTATGTTTCATACTCCTATCAGCCCTAGAGAGATGAATTTAATAATAAAACAATGGGCATGTGCCATTATAATTATGATCTGTATGTTTGAATGTATCTGTATAGGTTCATTTTATTTTATTATTTAGAAATGAGTTTCCTGTTGCCCAACTGTCATCATTCTCCCACTTGGTCATAGTTCTCAGAGGGATGTGAAGACATTTTAACAGGTGCTGCTTCCCCAAGCACAAATGAAAAAAAATCAGATGTTCATCCTTAGTGTAGAACTGGGACACCCAAAAAGGAATCAAATTTGCATTCTCCATGTACAACTGAAACCTGAGTCAACTGGTATCTATGCAGAAACAGGGAACATTATTCAGTCAAAGGCTTCATGATATGAGGGAATTGTCACATGCACATCAATATTTGGCGTCTGTGAAGAGCTGAAAGGATGCAGAATTCTCTCACAAAAGGAGCCAGGGTGACCAGAAGCCCCCCCCCCCAAGTGCTTGTGCAATTTTGTTTCAAGTATATTATGACCATATTTTGCTCTTTATAGTGTGATGAGGGCTAAGAAGAAGTCTAAATTTGATTTAAATAAAATTAAATATCAGTGATGCAGTTATGTTCGTGTCATATATTATACCCATATAAATATAGTTGCTTTAAAAATACATCAACACAAAATTTTTTGGAAGGATTTGGAGGGGGCATATATCAGGATTTGAGAAGCTCATGTTGGTTTATTCAACTTACCCAATTACAGTACTTGTCAGTAATAGTTCATTGAGCTAAAGGACTGGGCAAGTTTCAAATTAGCTGATTTCCCCACTCCCGCCCATCTCAGTCGTTTTGCTATTCCAGAATCAACATTCATAAAGAGGTAAAAAAAAACCACCTTATTTTTTAGTGCAGCTTCACAAAAGAAAAAACTTAAGGAGGTATTCTGAGTTAATGTACTGAAAATTGTGTGTGTGTGTGTGTGTGTGTATGCAAATACTGAAATTAGAGCATCAAACTTTTTGAAAACATTTACAAATCTAAGCAAAACAATTCAGAATCATTTTCCTAAGGTTCTTCCTTTTATAATACATTTAGCTTTAACAGAAGGGAGAGCTCAGTTGTCATTGGTTACCTTATCAGGTTAGGTCAGTTACATTGCTTTTGTTTTGCGCACACACAATCATTGGCAACCAGCCCAAAAACATCGAACAGAACTAAAGCCTCAGCAGAGAAAAGGGAGGTGGGGGACGGGATGTTACAGATTCTGCATTTCTAAGCTCTGAACACCAACTGCAGCAGGGAAACGAAATGATACATTTGCGACAAGGAGAAGCCATGCTAAACAAGTTATCTTTGTTCTTTGTTCCTGAGCAAAGTTAGAATAGAAGCCAAACAAACCCCCAAACAAACAAAACTACAATCTCAGACTTCACCTCCCTTCCTCCTTTCCCTCCGCCTTCCAAGCCAGAGTTAAACAGAGAGAGAAAAAAGTTTTAAAAATGATCAACACAAACCTCTCTCTTCAGATTTTCATGCAAACACCTTTTATTTAGTCCACAACAACAACAAAATCTGCAATTTACTGTTTCTTCCACAGCCTGGGATGGGGTGGGGAACTCACATGCACACATTCACTCCCCCAACCTCCGGGGGGGGGGTGTTCCTTAACAGTCACACAGTTTTCATGATTCCCAGTTTCTTCCAGCAATTTCATATTGCAGGCAACTAAATTCCTGCCTTTCAGGTATTTCACACACATACACATTCATTTGCACATCAGCATACTCACACATTCACTTCCATTCAAACTGCTTGCATACACAATTTCACCTACAGATATTTCATTTTCATGCTTTTTTCATGCCAACCTTTTATTTTTAAATAATCCTTTTTGTTTGTTATTATCAGAGGGTTTTGTCCCTCTCCCAACACACATATATATACAGATACCATTAAGACAACATTTCCAGGCCTGTTGCTTGTCCTCCAAGAAGTAAGAAAAATCAAGATGTGATTCCAGCCAAAATGTGATGTTGGGCCCTGAACCATCTCTTATTTTTCTCACCATTCCAAGCCCAAACTTAATTTTCTGGAAGGCCAAATATTTAAAACTCATCAATTTGGAGTTTGAAGCCAAAGCAGCCTCCCTTTTAATCTTTCTCCAAAAACGGAGGGCAACATTTATGGTTGCTTCCAATTTCCCCCCAGCAAATTCAAAGGGGAAAACTACAGAGAGCAGCCTCCTCTCTTGTCCAAGGACAGTAGATGGCACCACTGTCTAACAGAAAAAAAATGTCCGTTCAAAAATCCAGATTAGAAAAAAAAAACTTATTCTTCTTTGAATTTTTCTTTTCTACAGTGGCTAGATTTGTTAAAAAGATAAGCTAGCCAAAAGTTTTTCATCGTTGCTTTCTTGAAAATTATTTTTTTACTGCCACAATTTCAGTGCTTTTTAATGGGCTAAGACGCAGCCCACTGGAAACACGTCCCCTCCTTTTTCTTTGTCTTCCCTGTTTCCCCATTGTTTAACCTATTTTCTCCTGTCTTGTCCTTAAAGGATTTCTTGGTCTTTTTATCAAGTTCGAGGCTAGCTAGACCCCCTTTTTATCTCAGACGAGACCCTGCCTGATAACAGCCTGAAACTCAACAAGCACTCTCCCTATCGCTCCGGAGCATACCTCTAACAGGAATTTCTCTGTCTCATTCTTTCATTCATGCAAACAGCACTCCCCATCTCTCCCTAATTCCAGAATGTTTGTTTCTACTTACCAAGTTTCTCCTGTGTTCTCATCTCCTCCTACCTTCACTGGGAAGAGATGGAAGTCTCCTTAAACATTCAGGGTTCAGACAAACTCAGGTCTGCTGTGCTGGCCAATTTAAAAGTCACCAGAAACAAAGTGCTCTTGAACTTATCTGTTGGCCACACCAGTTTTCCTGGATGTCATGCCTGAAGGTTGTGAGTTACAACGCAATTCATTCACAGGGAGTCTCAATGAGAAACAACCTTGAAGAAAAAACTTTCAAGTCCTTGTTCAGGCGCCAGAAATGTAAGGTCCCAGTCCCTTACTTGAACTTGAGATACCATGTCAATCTAATCAGATAACCCAAGCAGAGACTTCTTGACCAAGCAGCACTTTATTTGATCAAATTAAGCAGCTGGGTAACTGTGAAATGCTGGCAGAGTTACATCCAGAAGTGCCACACCTTAGAAAGTTGGTGGCATTGCTTTATAAACTTTGTTAGCCAATGAAAATCAGACAACAGTGCCATTACATCATAAAGAAGACATCAATCATTCCTATACACTCCTGTATTCCCTCCTTCAGTATCTCTCATCCATGTACATGTTTCCCACGCTTGCATGAAATTTCTCTGGTGCAAAAGCTGATTACAAAAAGCAAGAAAGCAACGGTTAGACTGAACAATTTCCCTTTGTTCCAGAACCCTTCAAAGTGTTGTACTCCCCCAATCTTGCTCTTCCCCTAAATGATTCCTAAATGCAACTATTGCAATGTCTATATTGCATCCTGGCCAGAAACTGATTGCTCAGGAGCCCAATAACTTGCCTCCTTAGAGGCTCTCTGCAGTTGCAGGGCACCAGCTATTTCAAATAAGCCAGTCCAAAATTTGGGCACCACAAAATCTATTGAGGCTCTATGATATTGTGGGATATTCTGTAATAACGGAATGTTGAAAGCCTGTCAAGAGTTTCCCACTGATCTCTTTTATGGGATGCAGAATCAAGAGAGTATTATTGTGAGTCTCTTGAGTACAAAGAACACTAAATTCCATTTGTTTTCTGTTCCTTTGATCCCTCTGTTCCCTTTATACAGGGATGTGGTTTCTACAGAAACTTACTTAAAAATGAAATGGAGCTGAGTGAGTCTAACATTGACAAAAGCAGATAGAATAGAGTAGAGTAGAGTAGAGTAGAGTAGAGTAGAGTAGAGTAGAGTAGAGTAGAGTAGAGTAGAGTAGAGTAGAGTAGAGTAGAGTAGAGTAGAGTAGAATAGAATAGAGTAGAGTAGAGTAGAATAGAATAATTTTATCGTCACTTTGAATGCACACTAATCGACATACATTTTAAATTTTATTAAAATCAAATTTTGTTGCATATAGCTCTCAAAAGGTAACCACCTCCGATATACACTACATAAATATGACAAAAATAAATGTAGTCCTTTACCAATCTCTCAAAACACTTCATCATAATGGAAGTGAGTACAACTGGATGGTAATCATTAAGGCATGTGATTTTAGTTTTTTGGGGGGGAACTGGTACAATGATTGCAGTCTTAAAATGTGATTGAACCACAGCCTGATGCAACAAGAGATTGAAGATGTCTGACAGCCTCCTTTCTCCTGGCCTCTATTGGGAAACGCACACTTTCTCCCCTCTCGCATGAGCACGCAATGGCCCCGAGCTCCTGGTTTTGGTGTGTGGTGATTGGAATAATGTGTGTATGGATGGGTGTGCACAGTGTTGTGGAAGGGGCTAAACTTGCCTAGACGCATGTAGAGCTATTAAACATCGGGCTCACAAGGCAATCCGGGATCACTAGCAATTTCCAGCAGTCCCATAACATACCGAACTGCATAGAGAGGCCTCCTGGATCTCCATGGATTGTCATCGGGTCGGGGAGGTGCCGACGCAAGCGAAAATGAAAGGAGCAGAAACAAAAGTGTGGCTGCAGAGCTGGTCTGCTGGCTCGGCTTAGGAGGCAGCCTCACAGACCAGCGCTGCCAAGTGTTTTCCTGAGCAATGTAAGATCCCTCGTTCACAAAATCGACGAGTTACAGCTGCAGATGGCAGCAAGCAGGCTTCTCCGTAAAAGTTGTGTGATAATTGTCACGGTGACCTGGCTACATCCAGCCGTACCTAATGCGGCAGTGGAATTGACAAGCCGTGTCATTCATCGCTCCGACAGAAATGGTGACTCCGGCAAGAGCAAGGGAGGAGGACTCTGTGTTTATATACATAGCGATTGGTGTGCTAACAGCAGAGTAGTTTACACGCACTGCTCCCCAGATGTGGAACTGATGACTGTAACATGCAGGCCATTTTATTTGCCCAGAGAAATTACTGTGGTAATTATCATAGCTGTCTATATTCCACCTGATGCCAGTGTCAGCGCGGCGCTGTCCAAGCTATATGACGTCATCTCCAGGCAGCAGCAAACTCACCCAAAGGGTGCTATTGTTGTGGCTGGGGATTTCAATCAAGCCTGTCTAAAGACAGTTCTCCCCAAGTTTCTGCAGTATGTGCAATTTTCCACCAGGGAGAAGAACACTTTAGATCGTGTGTACTCCAATCTGAAACAGGCATACAGAGCATTCCCCCTCCCCCATCTGGGTACATCCGACCATCTTTCACTCCTGTTGGCCCTGAAGTATGTTCCTCTCAGGAAAAGAACTCAGACAGTCACGAAAATGGTTAAAACTTGGCCAGAGGGTGCTCTCAGTCAGTTGCAGGACTGCTTTGAAATTACTGACTGGAGTGTATTCAAACACCAAGATCTGAATGTATACGTAGACTCTGTACTTTCTTACATCAAAGTGTGCACTGACAGTGTGACAAGGGATAAGTGCATCAGAGTCTATAGGAACTGCAAACCCTGGATGACCGCAGAAGTAAGATCACTCCTGAGAGCCCAGGACTCTGCCTTTAAGGCAGGGGACAAGGATGCATACAGAGAGGCCAGGGCAAATCTCAGAAGAGGCACTAGGATGGCGAAACAGCAATATAAATGCAAGGTGGAGAACCACTTAGCGAATAACAACCGAAGCAAGAGTGGCAGGGACTGCAGCATTTATCAACCATAAGGGCAATACGAGGAACACAGTGAACACCGATACCTCGCTGGCAGAGGGACTGAACATCTTCGCTCGTTATGAGGTGAGTGAACCAGACCGCGTAGCCCTTGCTGTCTGGCCTTCTGATTCTCAGCCACTCACCTTGCACGAACACCAGGTGAGAGCTGTATTGAAGGCTGTGAACCCCAGCAAAGCTGCAGGCCCAGATGGGGTACTGGGGACTGTGGTAAAGAATTGTGCTGATCAATTAGCAGGGGTCCTGACGAGGATCTTTAACATCTCCTTGCAAAAAGCCTATGTACCATCATGCTTAAAAGCAGCTACCATTGTCCCAATTCCAAAGAAAACAGCAATCAGTTGCCTAAACGACTACAGAATCATTGCATTAACGTCTGTAGTGATGAAATGCTTTGAAAGATTGGTTCTCCAACATCTTAGGACATGCCTCCCACTGGACTTTGATAAACATCAGTTTGCCTACAGGGGAAATAGGTCGACAGACGATGCCACAGCTACTGCTTTACATTCGGTAGCAAGTCATCTGGAGAAACCTGGAAACTATGTCAGGATGCTTTTCATTGATTATAGCTCGGCTTTTAATATGATTCTGCCGAGTATCCTTTTTGAAAAGCTGACTGACTTGAATTTTCATCCCTCCATTTGTGATGGGATCATAGACTTTCTGAGGGACCAGTTACAAACAGTGAGGGTTGGGTCTGTTTTATCCACCTCCCTGAAGCTTTGCACTGGCTCGCCACAGGGCTACGTGCTTAGCCCCTACCTGTACTCATTGTACACATATGATTGTGTATCATCCGACCCGTCCACTGCGATCATCAGGTTCGCAGATGACACCACCGTGGTGGGTCTCATTACAGTGGAGATGAGACAGCGTAGAGGGGGGAGGTACAAAAACTATCCTCATGGTGCCTAGAGAACAACCTGCACCTGAACATTGGCAAGACAAAGCTTACATGGCATCAATGGATCCACAGAGGAGAGAAGACATATAAATGCACAGAGTGTGGAAAGGGCTTCATCCAACACAGTAAACGTACATGCCATCAAAGGATCCACACAGGAGAGAAGCCATATAAATGCATGGAGTGTGGAAAGGACTTCATCCAACACAGTAAATTTACATCCCATCAATTGATTCATACAGGAGAGAAGCCATATAAATGTATGGAGTGTGGAAAGAGTTTCATAACATGCACTGATCTTACACGCAATCAAAGGATGCACACAGGGAAGAAGCCATATAAATGCATGGAGTGTGGAAAGGGCTTCATCCAACACAGTAAATTTACATCCCATCAAAGAATCCACATAGGAGAGAAGCCATATAAATGTATGGAACATTGAAAGTGTTTCATAACATGCACTGATCTTACACGCCATCAAAGGATGCACACAGGGGAGAAGCCGTTTAAATGCATGCAGTGTGGAAAGGACTTCAGAACAAACAGTGATCTTACAACCCATCAAAGAATCCACACAGGAGAGAAGTTATATAAATGTATGGAATGTCTAAAGAATTTCAGAAGATGCACTGATCTTATACGTCATCAAAGGATGCACACAGGGGAGAAGCCATATAAATGCGTGGAGTGTGGAAAGTGCTTCAGCAAACACTGTCATCTTACTTCCCATAAAAGGCTCCACACAGCAGAGAAGCCATATAAATGTATGGAGTGTGGAAAGGATTTCAGAGCACATAAAGATCTTAGATCCCATAAAAGGATTCACACAGCGAAGCCATAGAAATGCATGGAGTATGGAAAGTACTTCAGCTGACATCATACTCTTCCCATAACATGATTCATAGACGTGAGAAGTCAATCTCCAAAATAAAGATACATTTGGGTGAGAATGAATGCTAATTATTGATTTAGTGGGTTCAATCTATGGATTTTCAATTTACACAGACTGAACTCTGAAAAGAAGGTTGTTGTTTTTTTGACTGATTCATCCTTCTAGCTTAGAGGCCTAGAGAGATGAATTTAATAATGAAAATAAAAACAATGGGCATGTGCCATTATAATTATTATCTATAGGTTTTTGAATTTATGTGTGTATAGGTTCATTTTATTTTATTTTTTAGAAATGCACTTCCTGCTCCCCAATTGTCATGTTTCTCCCACTTGGTCATAGCTCTCAGAAGGATGTGAAGATATTCAACAGGTGCTCCTTCCCCAAGCACAAATGAAAAAATAAAAGAAAAATCAAATGTGCACCCTTGATGTAGAACTGGGGCACCCCAAAAGTAATCAAATTTGCATCCTCAGTGTACAACTGAGACCTGAGTCAACCAGTATCTATGCAGAAACAGGGAACATTATTGTCTGTTGGCACATGTTGCCATTGTTCATGGCTTAGAGATGTTTCAATCTTTTCTACTCTATTGCCTACATAGACGTAGAAGTGTCTGCTTTGTTTGCTGATGAAGCTTGACATCACCTTGCTGTCTGTGTAGAACAGCGGTTCTCAACCTCTGGTTGACCCCTTTCACAGGGGTCGCCTAAGACCATCGGAAAACACATATTTCCGATGGTCTTAGGAACCGAGACACTGCCAAAGCTGCCGCCGCCTCAGGAACGTGCAGTGGACGAGCCAAGGAAAGGAACTGAATGAGGAGAGGGAGCATGCCCACCTGCGTGTTTGTGTGTGCGTTTGTGTAGAGTCGTTATTTTCAACTCCCAATATTACAAAGAAAAAAAAGATTGACGTGAATAAAATGTGGTGGAAGACAAGTGCTGTGTGTGTGTGCGCGCGCACGGTGTTAATCATATTCTTTCCCTCATCACGCGCCTTGAGCCACAATGCCAATAACCGTCTGCTCTCAGTTCGTGACGAGCGGGGCTCTTCTCTCTTTTTCCATCCCTGCTTTGAGCGAACGTTGAAAACCGTAAGACACCGAGAGGTGCACGTCCTGCTCGCAAGGCTCAGGGGAAGCGCCAGGATCAGCGCCCCTTTCTGCCTGATCGGTGCTTCTCCTAGACCGGGAGAGCTCAGGGGAAGCGCCAGGATCAGCACCCCTTTCCGCCTGATCGGTGCTTCTCCGAGGCCGGGAGAGCTCGGCCCCTTTCTGCCTGATCGGCGTTTCTCCGAGGCCGGGAGAGCTCAGGGGAAGCCCCAGGATCAGCGCCCCTTTCTGCCTGATTGGTGCTTCTCTGAGGCCGGGAGAGCTCAGCCCCTTTCTGCCTAATTGGCGCTCCTCCGAGGCTGGGAGAGCTCAGGGGAAGCGCCAGGATCAGCTCCCCTTTCTGCCTGATTGGTGCTTCTTCCGGAGCTGATCCTGGTGCTTCTCCTGAGCCCCGAAGAAGCACCAATCTCCTGGAAAGCGGCATTGATCCTGGTGCATCTGCTGAGCCCTGAAGAAGCGCCTATCACCTGGAAAGCAACATTGATCCAGGCCAGCACACTCACACACACACAAACACATGCGAGCAGTTACAGCTGAAGGCGTTTCAGCCTTCAACTATGGCTCCCAGTCCTCTGGCGCCTCATTGGCTCAGGCCAGCCGTCCGTCAGAATCTACATTCTGTGATTGGCTGGCTCCCTCAACGCGTTCCTCCCTTGCAGAAAGGGTTTGGCTGTTCATGCCAGCTTGCCCCCTCACGGGGCTCCTGATACTGTAGGCCCTGCTAGCCGGGAAGGCGCACCAGAGTCCTGGCTGCCAGTAAGGTGATCGACCCACTCCTCTCCCATTGCCCACTCTGCCCGGCTCGAGCCTGGCTGGAGCAGCCTTGGTGCTTCCAAAGGTGGCCACTTCAAAGTCACACGGGCAGCCCTCGGCTGCTCCTCTCCCCTCCATGTCTCCAAATCGATCCCCAATCAGAGAGAGAGAGAGGGAGGGAGGGAGGGAGGGAAGAAGGAAGAGAGGGAGGGAGAAAGGGAGAGAAAGAAGGAGAAAGAGAGGGAGAGAGAAATAGAGAGGGAGAGAGAGAAAGGGAGAGAGGGAGGGAGAGAAAGACAAAGAGGGAAAAAGAAAGAGAGGAAGAGAGAGGGAGAGAGAAATACAGAGAGGGAGAGAGAAAGAGAGAAAGAAAGAGAGGGAGGGAGGGAGAGAGANGGTTGTTAAATGAATCTGGTTTCCCAACTAACTTTGCTTGTCAGAAGCTTGCAAAAGGTGATCACATGATCCTGGAACAATGTGACCATCATAAATATGAATCAGTTGCCAAGCATCGAAATGTAAATCACATGACACTGGGGATGTTGCAACAGTCATAAGTGTGAAAAATGGTCATAAGTCACTTTTTTCAGTGCCGTTGTAACTTTGAACAGTCACTAAGCAAACTGTTGTAAGTCAAGGACTACATGTACTTTATCACTTTTTTCCAATTTTTGGGGGGTCAAGTTTTTGACACCTCGCTAGGTGACTGGTGGTACTCGAATGTTGCCATATTCTAAAAGTTGTACAATCAGTGAAAAAGTTGAAAAGCCCTGATCTAAATAATATTATCAGTAAGAGTGAATCCACTGTTTTTCCAACAAGATTGGAAATACTTTTATTTTTAATGTGATGGTGTAATAAATTCTAATCCAGAAACTCTCAGTTTCATTGCTTAATTTTCTTTCCATCTTACTGCTTATCTTCAAACCCAGTTTGTTTTTGTGATTAATCACTATGCTTTAATTATGTTCAATTTGTAACAATGAAAATACATCCTGCATATCAGATATTTACATTACGATTCATAACAGTAGAAAAATCACAGTTATGAAGTAGCAACAAAAATAATTTTATGGTTGGGGGTTACCACAACATGAGGAACTGTATTAAAGGGTCGCGGCATTAGGAAGGTTGAGAACCACTGTTCTAAATCAAGGAGACATTTCTCCGTTGCTAGGACAGGTTCAGTAAACTTCCTAGCTATTTTAAAGCGAATTCGATGAACTGTGCTCTTTGACCACTAGGAGTCGCTACTTGCAGATCAGCTACTGGGGTGCTGTCTGTGAGTGGAAGCACCACTGGGTACGTTCTCCTGTGTGTGTGGGTACTTTGGCGAAGTTCACCTTTTGACCACTAGAGGTCATTGCTTGCGGGTCAGTCAGTCACCAAGGTGCTCTTCCTTCGAGGTTCACCCTTTGTCCACTAGAGGGCTTTCTCTGTGCCTGATTAAAGGCTTGTGTGGAGTTCCTCCTTTAACCACTAGTGGGCACTTGGAGAAAGTCTAGCTAAATTTTTTCCTCTAAGAATCATGTCGCACGTGGTTGGCCATGTGGAATATTACTGAGCTCCAACTAGCTCCCATAAATCCCCACCATGGTCGTCACGTTACAAGCTGTGGACTGCTTGGGAAATTACTGACCTCCAACTAGCTCCCATAAATCCGCTTGGCCATTTCAGCTTTGTAATAATAAGCAAGGTTAATTTGCTGCCTTTTTTCTTTTCCTTAATTTGCCCTCAGCATAGACACCACTAGGGGTGACTGCTTGCATGAGTGATTACTTTGGGTGAAGTTCACCCTGTGTCCTCTAGGGGGTGTTGGTTACTTTGGATGAATTCAGGGAACTTGCTCTTTGACTATCAAAAACACATTCTGCATAGTTATAAATTTCAGTGAAGTACCTTCTTTCACCTCTGGGGATGCTCTTAACTTGGGTTGATGCAAGTCTGCTACTTGCTGATCAGTTATCAAGGTGGTGTGGGGTGCTGTAGTTCCAGCAGAGATAAAAGGCTGAATAGGCGTTGTGTGCAGATTAGCCACCAGGGGGTGCTACTGCATTAGCTAGTGGAGTTGGTTGTGCCTCTGAAACTAGATGCCTTTCTCCCCGCCCCTGTCCAAATTCTTTCAATTCCAAGAGAAAAAAAAGGGGGGAGAGCCAGCTTTGCTCCACTAGTTGCTAGGTTAGTGAAGAGATTACTTTATTGCTGACTGGTAGGACTGGAGCCCCCTCTGGGATGAATCGCTCAGAGCAACATGCAGACAAAGGAAATGAAGTTCTGAAATCCTTTGGGCAAGGCATGCAAACAAACATTCATATACAACATCAATTAGCTCTCTTTCTTACTTGCCAAGAAACTGACTGTTGTTTCTTTGTAGAAATAAGCTTGCTTCTTTTGTTTATGTGATCTGTTTGCTCTTTCTGCATTTAAGAGCGATCTTTTTATTATTGTCCTTGGCAACCTGAATATTTCCCTTAGCAACAAATTAGCCTGTTCGCAGAATCGTGAGGCCGGGAAATCAGCGTTCTTGGTAGCAAGCTGTTTCAACACAGACACCTTTCCATTGATTTTAGCAACACAGACAGTAATCTCTTGTCCTCTTTTACTCAGCAAGGGAGAAACATGCATTATTTCTTTACTGTAAAAACCTTGACTGGCAACAGAATCAGTAGCAAACTGGTATTCTTAGAACAAACAAAGAATATTTACTGTCCTTTACTTTGCCTGCTAGCAGATGGATGGAGCACACTTCATCTCTCTTTTAGATCAAACAAGGCATAAAAAAGTTAGTCAGTATTTCTTCGCTTTTACGAAGGGAGCAGAGACGAAGATTGAAGCTGTTTTTTTACTGCAAGGATGCAATCCATCTAACATTGATTGATCAGTTTAACGAAAAGGAAAACAAGCATGTCAATTTACTGCGTCCAAGCAGGACATAAAGAAATACACTAACTTTTACTTTTCATCCTTTAAAGCTGATGTAAAGAAAGTTATTAATTTTTTACTTTTAGCGAAGAGAGAAAGGCTTGTGACTTTAATAATGCAGACAGATGAATCTTGCAATTAGAGGAAAATTAACCA